TAACACTTCATGAAACCTATGGCGTATCTAACACTTCATGATCATCTTCATCAAGCATATTTGAATCAACTTGTGGGAAGGTTGTCTTAACATCTTCATTTTCATATGCAATTTATATGTGGTTTCAATTAGTTAAATATTAAAAAATAACTAAAATTGAGAATTATAATATTTAAATGTACACAAAAATATATTACCAGTTTGAGAAAAATCATGTAACTAGTTTCAAGTAGCAACAAGTGTTTGGACATTTTCACGATGGATGCAACTTCTATACTTAGTGATTTCCTTAAAAAACTTTAAATAGATTTTGAATTTGGATCTCTTTAATTTTTAATTTTAAAATTATGTTATATTTTTTAATTAATTTTTATTGGCCCACGGCCCGGCCCTACCTATATTTCTCAAGCCCCACAAATTAGCAGGCTTATTCATGCCGAGCTAAAAAACCCTTTTTTAAAATGGGCTCCAAAATTTTTAGCCCAGCCCTATTAAATCCCGGGTTAGGCCAGGCCGGCCTAACAGGCCTAGCCCATATTGACGGCTATATATATATATATATTCTCCTATTTTAGAAATGACAGTTTAAAGTACGAACACTGTTATATGGATGGTACTCTATGCAATAAAAGGTGTCTATCAAAGATGGAATGAATTAAGGTTAGCAGAGGAATTTACATAATTTTGTTGGGTTAAATGATATCTGAGTATAATTGGAATTGCTACGTGTCTTCTTTAGGCTTAAATTTGCTTCTATAACTGTGTCGATGTCATTTTAGGATGCAATTGAACACACATCTAACTCTAACTTCTTCTTCTTTTTGACCAGTTTCATCATTTTCTAACATATTCCTATCTTAAATCAGTTCATGAATAGTAAAGAAGGACTATCGTCTACTTGTGAAAATCGTTCTTATTCACTTATGTACAAGGTATTTAGTTACAACACAATGCTTGCATATGACTTGCTACAATTTAATGAATGAACTTCTACATGTAGCACTCCAATTATATAAGCTACTAATTAAGTTGCTAAAATCTGTCTCCTACAATTTCAAGCCAATCAAGAATTCACCATCCAAATCCCTAACAAGAAAAAGAGGCAAATGCATTTTCTGAATTTCTTAAAATCCTTTTGATTTTCAAGGTTAATTCTTCCCGTTCAATTTTATAGTGTATTTTTAATTCCATCTTCAGCTGAAAAATAGACAATTCCAAGACAACATAGAAAATTACAAAGCTTTGATAAAAAAAATATTTATAGCTTATTTAATATTCGCATTCTGCTTTGGTACAAATATTTTTATGATTACTTGATTTGATTATGTAGAGTAATGTGTCGAAATCAACACGAGTCTTTGAAATTGAAACCTTATCTTCATGGGGTACAACTCTTTTTAATTTATATGCAACAAAATTTGATTTTTTCCGTTGATTTTTGTATTTCACTTCTACGTCTCAAGACATGTTATTCCACCTTTTGCTCTTTATATTTGTCATTGTTGCTTGGTTGTTTATAAAGTTCATGATATCAACAACAACTAGAGAAAAGCTAATGTGGAAAATATTTTTCAAAATCTTATATTAAATGTTACTAATTCTTATCTTATTTTCTCGTGTGTTTGTATGGGAGATTTGAATTAACAAATAAAAAACTATTATATGCATCTTCATACCCACATGAGCACAAATGAAGTTAAAGCAGAGAAATCCTTTAGATTGGTTGTTGGAAGAGCACAATTACATTTTCCTGCACACATCGTAAGGAATGAACTTATATTATACCTATGTATAGAAAAATTCTGGACTATGGATATTCAGTATCCATTTTTATTTTAATTATAGGGTGACACATTTAGCTTTTCAATTACTATTGAAAGAAAACTTTTAAGTGTTTGATATGTTGGGTCTGTGTTGTTGTAAAAACTCAAGTTACCACACAACGAGGATATATATTATAATCGCTGAAGAACACAAAATACAATTGAGAAATGGAAACGACTAACGTCCTTGCAACGAAACTGAGAAAACTTAACCAAAGGAAAAGAAGATCAGAAAATATAGAGCTAGATAGAAGGAGATGAGAAACTTAGACTAAGAAGGGAGATGAGAGGAAACAAACTCTTTTCTTTTCAATTTGCATAAACCCTTCTTTCCAACTCATTTGCCCTTTTAACCAAATACTAATTGGGCCGGGATCCCAAATAAGACGCTCCAACATTTTACTCGGCCCAATAATTCCTACTAAATTAGTCTCCACAAATTCCAGTCCATAGGCCCTTACATATCCAACTCTGTTCACAACAATACTCCCGCCCTCAATGAGAACCTTGTCCTCAAGGTTCAAGTAGAACAATGTCAACAATAACAAAAAATCACTCTCATAAGGTGAAACATACTTCTTCCCATCAATTCCATTAAAGAGTAGTGTGATAACAATTCCATAACTAAGAGGTAACCACATATGCTCTGTTTTGTTTTCCAATCCATAGTGTTCATGAATTGAAATCATTGTTAGTTGTTTGATCCAACTCCTCAAAGAATGCAGTACCATAAATGTATTGTGCAAACTCACCATGAGAAGAGTAGTGTACCAAGGAATAAACAAAGGACAAGTTCCAGCAGCCCAAACAACAATCAAATGGACAATTATTTTCGCATCCATTGAATTTCTTGTTGGCAAGTCATTGCCTGCTCCAGTATCAAAAATGCCCACTCCAATGGTTAACACCACAAAAACTTGAATGAAATATGTAGCGCAACTTCGCTCTCCCAAACCCACCGAAAAAACTAGCTGAGTTAAACCAAGGAATGTCGATCTAGAGACAAGAGGTTTGGTAGTGTCCAGTTCTTCAGATTTGCAACGATGGAAGTAAGACAAGATTAGCATAATGCTAGCTGACCAAAAACTACAGAGATATTTGGCAACAGGGGCGAGGCCAGAATTATCCTTCCAAAGTAGGAACGTGCCAAGACTTGCGAAAACATTAACCTTGAGCGAACACGTCTCTAAAATACGCACGTATCGAGCCTTATTTTCAGCATGCCATGCTAACTGGAAAACAAGAATATTTCTTCTCCAAGTCAATCCAGTCACCTTTGATGTCAATGTTGTAGGATAGAAGGAAAAACTTCTTTCAACAATATAAAAGTGAGTAAAATTTGGAGAAAGCGCAATTGCTAGTGCTGAATCAAGCTGCAAAATGGAGGAATTCGCATACGAAGATTGACCGGGATCTCAAATAAGACGCTCCAACATTTTACTCGGCCCAATAATTCCTACTAAATTAGTCTCCACAAATTCCAGTCCATAGGCCCTTACATATCCAACTCTGTTCACAACAGTTGTGCACGGGCTTCACCTTCTAGTATATATATTTACACACACAATTATTTGAAATATACAAATAAATAAATGTATACAAATACTGATATTATACAAATAAATAGCTAGAACGTATACTTGCTGATAATATATAAGTACAAAAAAAAAATTGTATACAATTGTTGAAAATATACAAATAAGAAGGTTTGAAAAAAATAAGAAATCAGCAACAAACATTGATCCATAAAATCATATACAACATAATGTGAAATGTATTGATAGAAATACAAATTACAAAAAATATACAAAACAAATTATATAAATACCTCAACAATGCTGAAATTTTATAAATAATAGCTAGAATGCATACTTGCTGATAATATACAAACACAAAAAATGATTGTATATAATCGTTGAAAATACAAACCAAATCTCTCAACAAATCGTAAAACATTTAAACAAAAAAATCAATTGATAAATACACATGAATCTATTGTATATTTACAATTGAAAATCTGAAAAACTTGGATGTGTTTGTATACCTCAAGTGATTTTTTGGAAGGAATTTGTTCGTCCATGATTTTGATTGTATCCAAGGATAAAACTGAAAACCAAAAAAAATTGATGTGATGACCAAATACAAATGAAAAAAAATGAAAGTTGAAACCGCAATAAGTTTGGGTAGATTTGGATGAGACAGAAACCGAGGTTCCTGGAACTTAGACTTGTTTCATTTGAAATGGATTCTAGTCGTTTAAAATTTTGCATTTGTTTTAGTTGAGTTGTCGAAGGCGTGACCTACCAAAATTTTGGATCTCTTTCTTTTGGTTATGTTCGATGTTAAATTATTCATTTAAGATATCGTTTTTAGCTTAAAAAAAAAGTTGAAATCACCATAAGTTGCCCTTAAATCTTTGCTGCACAATTTGAAAGGGAAAGAAGAATTTCTAACTTTTGTTGAGTGAATTGAGGAGAAAAATAAATAAGAAGATTATGGAGAGACATAAATTATATAACTTTGTAAAAGTGTAGAAACGAAATGTGGTTTGTGTAAATATGACTAAAAGTTAGTGGTGAGTGGTAAATTGTTCACTATAACTATGTTAAATAATTATGTAGTATATGTTTGCTTAGTCGCTTAATTTTTTCTCTTTATAAATGTATTAATTCATTTAATATTTAATATATATTTTAAAATATTTTCATTTTAAATATTATTATGAAATATTTAAATAATAATTTTCAAAAATATTAGTATAATATAAAACTTAATTTCCTTTTTCTGAATTTTATATCGAATGTCAAATCATGAGGGCAAACTTGTAAAGCTACGTCTGAAATCTCAACGAACCGACTTCACATGAGTTGTTACTCGCCGGCGGTGGGTGGAAGGGTGTGTTTTTATATAGCTTGGCGCTTGCAAGCGGAAATCGACGTCGTCTATGGCTAAAACTTTGAGTAATCAATCCATGGAGAAAATATCAGATAGGCTTTCAGGGCTTGATAACCTCTATTTCCCACGCGCTCAGCAATCGTCCGCCTCCACTGCCTTCCAACGCAAATCCCTCCTTATCGACCTTCTCTCTCGCGACACTCCCCTTTTTCTAGGTACTCTACTAATTTTTAGTATTTTCTTCTAGCGATTATAATGATCATATGTGTTTTATTTTTTATGTGGCTGATAATTGTGCAATTAACCTTGACCTCGTGGCGTTGCCAGAAATTATGCTATTAGATTGTGATGGAACAACTTTTCCTCATCTAATCGATATGTTGGCCTTGAATTCATTGTTTCCCCCTCCCTCAAAATATTCAGCACTTTCAATTATAAAAGGAGACAACATTGCATAGTTGATATACATAGAATCAGTTCTGCTTATCTTTGGAGAAATCTTAGTATTTCGTGTTAGACCTCTTATCTTATTGACGCTTTATGTTTGTCAGAGTTGTTGAGGCAAAAGCACCTTAGTCTAGTGGAACTTTAAGGCAAACTGCAATTAGAGTCGTGAGCTTTAGCGAATAAAGGTGCTAAGGAGCAGATAGAAAAAATCTAATGTGTGAAAAACTGACTAAACACAGACAACAGTTATTTAGATAAGATATTGAAGAGAAATATATGAGGTGATTCTCCCCGTAGGTGTACAGTTCTACTTTTATATCAAAAAAAATATATGAGGTGATTCGTGTCAGTTTAGCAAGCATAAAATTATTTTAAGTACTCAATGACAAATTTTCAGATATAAATTTCTAAAATCTTATTCCTTGATCAATTTAATATCCATCCTCACCGAAGGGTTGGTCTAGCGGCCAGTGAAGTGGGTGAAAACCATGAAAGATCATGAGCTAGACCCCAATAGAGACCAAAAATATTAGGTGATTTCTCTTCATTTGCCTAAGAGTTTTACCCGATGCCTATGCTAACATGAGATAGCTGTTACTCAGCACATGAGATAGATGGTACTCGGGGAAATAGTCGAGGTGTGTGTAAGTTGATCCGGACACCACCATTGTAAATTTTTTTTACTAATTCATTCAATGGATTTTTTTCATACTTATCTAGTGTCGTCGCACCCAAGGGTGTAGCCTAGTGATCAATGAAATGGATTGAGAACCATGAGGTCTCAGCTTCAAATTTCAATAGAGGCAAAAACTCTAGCTGTCTCTAGGTGATTTCTTTCGATCTGTTCTAGCCTTGGCGGATCGAGTTATCTAGTATGTGTTGCTTGTGGGAGTTGGCAGGTAAACTGTGGAATTAGTCAAAGTGTGCGCAAGATGGCCCGGACACCACGGTTATAAAAAAGAATTATTATCTAGTGTGTCTTGTTAAAGACAGACCACGAGCCATGAGGCGCAGGCCTTGTTGCATTGGTGTGAGCACCAGCTAAGAGAGGCAAAGCAGACAAGCTTCACTTACTATCTTGGTTTAAGCGCTCATCACTCGAGCTTTTACTCAACACTGATGTTTGTTTAAATATTGAAAGCCAGTTTTGAGAGATCAAATATTTCCAAACAAGAGAGTGGTCAAATATATAAATTCATTATATAGGGAAGAAGGCGTAGGTTATTGTGCTCCAAATCATATGCACCTTGTATGGTTATTCCAACTGAAACCGTCCCTAGCACTTCCTCCCTCTTTGTAAATTTGAGGGTTCAACTTGTAAATGCTTAGGTTCCAGTAAATGGGCCTATTTGATTCAGCATGTTATTTGGGTTGTTTACCTCACTAAAGGCCTAATATCTCCTGTGCTGAACTAGAACTTTTAGCTTCATTATCTTTTAAATGAAGAAACATTATAAACTTCATTAATCTGTGTTTCTAAATATCTCTTTGTTGATTATTGGAATCTCAGAACGTTATGGATCGCAGTTAACATCAGATGAGCTAAATGAATTTGGAACTATGGAAAATGATTATGAAATCAATTGGCATCTGAATCGCTTGCGAAGTGTTATTAGCCCAACGCAAGAAGATCTGAAGTCCAAATCAGTTAAGATTAAGAACAGACGGCGAGCATATCTGGACAAATTGGTAAGTGATGGACAGTACTTTTCAGAGGATGCAATGAGGGAAAGAGAGCCATATTTGCACCATGAGTATATAGGGAGGTTTCAGGATCCAAGTGGGAGGAGCATGGCAAGACCGGGGGAGCGATGGTCTGAGACACTGATGAGGCGGTCAGAAGAGGCAATGCTTGTTAAGAAAATTAGGGATGAGCAACAGAGACGAGGCGTGGCTCAAAGTGATTGGATAGGGTTTGATAATCAGGAACTTGAGAAGATGGAGGAGGAAGAGGAAGAAGAAGAAGAAGAAGAAGAAACCGAGGAGGAAGAAGAAGAAGAAGAAGAAGAAGAAGAAGAGGAGGAGGAGCAGGAGCAGGGGCAAGACAAAGGTGAAAGGGACATCTCATCTAATAGACAAGAGGTAGTTGTTGTACCTTCTCTCACTTTGTAGATAGTATACACTAAAATATTTGTTGGGTCTGCTGGTTATTTGTAATTACATGCTAACTTGCAGGCTATATTCAGTAGATATTCATATTTGTCTTGTGTCTTGTTATTATATTGCATTTATGCCGAGGGAATTATGGATGATTGTCAATTGAAAGACATAATTTTGGTCAAGTTTTGTCAAATATGGCATATTCTTTTTGTAGTTTTGCAACGATTGAGTAAGAATGGGATATCTGTTGGAGGTACTTTAGTATTGTGTGGGGGTTACAACATAAGGAGTTCTTTTAGTCAGTCTTCATAAAAATAAAGGAGTTCTTTAAGTTAGTACTTTCCCTAAAGTGTAAAAGTGTTTTAGCTTCTGGGAGTCTATCTGAAGGCTAATTCATTGCAACTTCTGACTCACTTATCTTTGTGATGTTCTGCGGTAACATGTTAACAAACTCTGGAGAGCTATGAAGTTATACTTCGTAATTGCCAGTTGGAAAGTCCTACTAGTGTGCCTTTAAATGGTGTCAATTTTTTTTTTTGGGGGGGGAGGCAAATCTGAATATACTATTGGCAACAGTCTAACTTAAAGCCGCAGTGTTTCCATTGAAATTGAGAAAAAGTGTGATGTAAAAAGGATATGAATTTTTAGGTCTCTTCAGCTGAAAAACTGATATTTTAAAGAGCTTTCTTTTGCCTTCATATTCCTGGAGATCAAGTTTTCAAGTGTTAGCTTGTTTGTTAGCTTTATTTGGTTTATTCGGAAGTTTTTTAGAAGCTCAAGTTGGAGTCGTGTCAACAGGGAGCTCTCACCATTATCATTCTCCAATTACTGTCCATTATTGCCTTCCAGTTGTAGTGAAGCTTTGTAGAGGTTCAAGTTGGAGTTATATTTAGGTTTTGTTGAATGCATGCTTGTTTGTCAATAGTACCCTCACAGAATATGTTCTCAAAGTATAGACCATTGTCTTTTTGTTTAGCCTGTTATCCTTAGTAGGCTTTCTGTTACTATTACTTATCAGAAAATGATTTATTTTCCTTTGTGAAGGTTCACCCAATCAATCTTGATGCTTCTAATGACGTGCCATCAGAAATGAGAAGAGCTGCTGTGATGGAAACTTTATCAACAGAGGAGATGCAAGAACGACTGGACCAGTTTTCTTACATCATGCAGGAAAAGTTTTTATTAGGAGAAGATAGTCTGGATTACTCAAAAATTGATGAGGATGAGACCTTGGATGATCACTGGATGAAAGAAGCAAATTATGATGCTGAAGAAAAGTACTTTGATGATGACTGAGCTTTAATTACCGAGTGGTTTTTAGCTTTTGATACTACACAAGTAGTCAGTCAAGTACTCATCTTGTTTGAGTTTCTATCATGTATATGCTGTTAGCGTGTATGCAAATATGTTTAGGTTTTATGTGGCTGAAGGGAGTTTCTATAAGGTCATCGATGGCTGGGTTTGGTTTTTGAAGTTGCTTCCTCTCCATCTTCTTGTGTTAAGCTTACAATTCCTTAATATCTGGGATTAGCTAGTAAATTCACATTACAATTCAAGCAGCTTTTGAATAATCTTTAGTTGTGGAACTAATGAGATTTATATAGAGTGAAAGATGCTAAAATTCTAACCCAATCACTGTACAAGGATAGAGATTCTTGTCCAATGGCAATATGCCCAAGCCGCAGAATTCTGAATTACTGTACTAGCATCAGGTTTATGTCAATTGATAAGATAGAAACATTGGGGGATTTTGAGAAGCTTCCTAATTTGGATTTATTTTATTTGACTTTGTACGATAATAGTGAATTTATGAATCATTTGGGACATAAATGGTTCATAATTAGACATTGTTTTCTTTTGGGGAGTTCCTATTTTTATTGGTCAACTTCTATCATGTTGAATTGTTGATGTAGAGTGAGTGGCTACAATTCCAATCCCACACAATTTGTACATTTTAGATACTGGATTTGATTTATGCCTAATCTTGCAATTGCCTTTAATAGGAAGTACTATTAATCTGAATAATTTGATTACTAAATCAACTTCAATCACCAGTGCTCTCTGATTCAAGAAAATAAAATGGAAGAACAACCAATTTAATCCCTTAAATTAAGTTGGTGCTTGGTCATAGGATTTGAGAGTCTGATTTAAATCATCGTTGTTTATGAAATTTGCATAAAATTATTAATAATACCAAAAAACAACATATAGTAACATAACATAAACTACAACAAAATAATACGATGATTGAGATACAAGGAACAATAGATTGTAACAAATATTAAAGGTCAGGAAACTACTGAAACAATACTATGACTATTAATATGAATAGAGCGCGAGACAACTGTCACCTACTAACCTTTTACCTTAATTAGTGTCCTCCACACTCATATATTCCATGTCCTCTGTAAGTTGAAATTGCATCATATTCCACCTAATCACATTTCAGAATACTTCTTAGTCTACCTCTACCTCTCCTTAATATTTCTTTGATCTATCTCTACCTCTCTTGAAACGATTCATAAATAACCTCTCACATCTTTGTACTAAGACATATGTGTATCTCCTCTCCGGCATCTTGTCCTCTGCCGAAGCTACTCCCATCTTGTCCTAGATATCCTCATTTCTAACCATATCTCTTTTAGTATGCATGCAGTTCTATTGCAATATCCTCACGTCCACAAATTTTATCTTGTGAACACGAGAGTTCTTAATTGACAATTACTATGTCCCATACAACTGAGTTGGTCTGACCATCATTCCTTAGAACTTACCTTTCAGTCAATTTTGATGGCATCTTCCTGTTACACGGGGCTCTGAGTGCAAGCCTCCATTTCACCCCAACAGTGAGTGACATTCTTGTTAATGCTTCCATTTTTTTGGATAATAGATTCAAGATACTTGAAACTTTCTCTCTTTTGGATGACATGTGTATCAAACCTTACATTCACGTTAGACTTATGTGTTATCTCACTAAACTTACCATTCTAATATTTTAAAATAATGAACAAGTAAAAATGAACCAAAAGAATCAACGGTAATAACTAAGCTGATTTTAAATCATGTCCAACCGGCCCTAAATCCAAAGGATATAAGATGTTACAATTTTGGCAAATTGACATCCACCAAACAAAAAGATTCAAAGTTACTGGTGAAGTCATCAGTGACAAAGGTTACACGTATACAATCGCACCACGATAAAATAAATGTCCAAGCGACGATACACTAGCATTACCCATCCGAAAAAATCGCCCAAGCAAAGCAAAGCATAGCAAAGCTAAGCTCTTCCCGCCGGTGTTTATTTATCACCTTCTCCGGTCACAATTCCCTTTTTTTCTCTCTCTAAAACAAATCACCAATAAGCATAGATTAGAGAGAGAAAATGGGATAACCTTCTATCTCCCTTCAATCCCCAACCAAAACCCTAAGTTTCTCTCTCCTCATTTCTCTGACATCGAAGCCCTAGGGTTCGAGTCCTGTTGTTTAATTGTCGTATAAGCTGAGGAGAGAGATATGTACAAAGAAAGAAGAGTTGGCGGTGGATCGAAGCCGGAGATGGGACGTGTAGGTGATAGGAAGAGATTAAATGAAGCCTTGGATAAGCACTTGGAGCGCTCATCTCCTTCTACCTCCACTACTACTGTCAGGGGTACTAATGGAAAGGATCATCGCTTTGCCTTGTCCAAATCCAAGGACCAGCTCAGAAACGCTGCTCCTCCTCCTCCTGATAATAAGTGCTCTGATGGTATACACACTTTATTTTCCTTACATCCTATTTTATAATGGTAAATTTCCAGGATAGACTTTAAAATGTTAATGCATATATAGAAGCATGTATGTAGTGATTGTGGAAGAATTTATTCATAAGTGATTATGTAAGAAAATGTTGAAGTGATGGTTGAGAAGTTCAATATAGAAAATATCACGCTAGAGTTTTAACATTTGGATAGCTTAAGGGAATAGTTTGAATTCTTGGAAGTTGTACAAAAATGGATGTTAGACATTTTAGATGTTCCGAAATGGAATGGAAATAGTCATATGTTGGAGTGAAGGGAGTATACTGTATTTATGTTGGTTGTTATCTAATTAAAGTTTTAGGTTTTAGAGGTTGAAATTTGGCTGCACAATTTCATTTTTACTTTAATGGTTATGAAAATTAATTGGGAAGAGTAATTATGATCAAATTACATTTTAAAGCATGATGAGAAGATCAGGAGTCTTACAAGTGTTAAGCTTTTTCTGCATTTGGTGACATTAAAGCTTCATGTGGCACCATGTTGATTCTAGTGCTAGTGTTGTTATTAATGGCCATCATCATATCATTCACCCTCCTATCCTCTACCACTTGCTCCCTAAGTTCCCTGTCTACTAAAATGCCTACTCCATTCCTACTCCTCGAGTTTCCTAGTACCACAACTTAAACCTGACTACATCTCTAGCCTTGGTTCCTACCAATTTGGTGCATAGGGACCACTTCGAGAGGATATGATGAAGCACATGGATTTTTTGGCTTTGGGGATATAAATGACGGAGGAGTGTCACTTTTAGACTTCACGGTAGCTTTTGAGCTGGTCATAGTTAACTTGAGCTTTCATAAGAGGGAGGAACACTTGGTGACCTATCGTGGTGTATAATACACCGACAGATTACCTGCTCCTTAGGAAGTGTGATAGAGGTTTTCTCAGAAAAGGAAGTGTGGTAGAGATAACTGCGATGACTACAAGGTTATTCCGAGCGAGAATCTTACAACCATTATAAGCTCGTGGTTATGAATTTCGATATCAAGAGAAAAAAGAAGAATAGAACTGCATATGACCAGCCAAGGATTAGATGGGGAAGCCTGACTGAGGCCAAAGCTCAGGAGATTAGGGAGAAGTTGGTGACTATAGGGGCTTGGGGCAGTGGTGAGTATGCAAATAGTATGTGGGCTAGTACAACTGACTGCATCAGAGTAGTAAGTCCCTGATATATCCTGATAGAAGTGTTAGTTCAGCATGTTCGAGACTTACTTGGGAATAAAAGGATGGTATCGTTGCAACATCACCTATCCATTTGTGAGATATGAATGAAAACAAACTTCTACTGTTATTTCAAAGAGCGGATATGCACGTAACAATAAGCTTATAATCAGTAAAACAACTCAGACTTATCTTCCAGGATGAACATAGTAGATTTGTTTAGCTATAATAAGTGAAACAATTCAGGCGAATCTTCATGTTTTTTTGCTCTTTTTTTCTTTTGGCACTTCCTAGAGTGGATCATGGATGCGCATTTGTCACTTGCATGAGACTAAGCCATGCCATTTATTTTGTATCTGATTGCTTTATGAAGTCCTCACATTAATTATCCTTGAGGGTTACAGTTAAGGCCCTGATGTGGGACTTTCCTCCAGAAAAAAAAATAGAATATAAAAATACAAGGCCCTGATATATCCTGATAAAAAGAACATAAGGTCTTGATATAAGACTCGTGTTTAGAGATTATTATGACATTTACCCTTAGAATTTTCCAATTCAAGAGGATGATCATTCTGTGAGATACATAGTTAGTAACACGCATTGGGTTCATTAAATGAACATTGGAGAGTGCACTTGACCTCAGCCAAAAGGTCGAGAAAGATTTCATTAAATGAGCATTGAAGAGGAAGATCACATGTATTCATTTCTTGCTCCAATTAGCCAATTGATGGGGTTGATTTTTGGCATACTTCCACCCTATTTCTCTTCTAGTTATAGGCAAAACTAGACTCGTCGCTCTTTGAAATTGAAAAAGAAAAGGGATGTCAAGAAAACCTAGTCTCCTCTTCCCAGTTTCCACTAGTCAAATCACTCCAGATTTAAAAGTATTACTTCTGCTTTTTAATGGGTACAACAATCAACATAGACTAAAGTGAGAAATGCATCTCTAAAGTACAGCCCTTCGAGAAAGATTTTGAGAGCTTGCTAGTAAGTAACTTGAACCCTATAATTTTAATGGTGCAAGGGTCAATGCTCATCTATCCCCTTTCCACGATCTTGGCTAAAAAGAAAAGAGCAACAATAATAGCGAAAACGATAAAATTTAACACAAGTAGAATATCTTTTTTTTTTGAAAATTAAATAAAATTGAAACACAAGTAAAGGTGGAGGATTTGTGGCTTAGGTAACAGGTTCAAGCCCCGCACCATGCAAAGCGAAGCCCGGTATTTAAGTGGAGAAGGGTAGAGGGGCGGGCCCATTATCCATTGAGTTTAGAAGGCTGTGATTGGTCCAAAGGGCGGGTCACAGACGGATTTCTCGGTTATCAAAAATAATAAAAAAAAATTGAAACACAAGTAAAACATCTTAAATAGCTTGTTCCTCATCCGATCCTTTTATAGTCTTTTTTTTAGATGGTAACAAATTTTATATAGTCTAAAAACACAAAGGTTGTACTGGCCATAATTACTGGAAAATGTACCAAAATATACATCAGAAATTTCTATCTCCTTGCAAAGATCCTAGAGCATCTAGAATAGCTTCTGAATCTCTAGTGATTCTTGTTTTACACCAAAAATAAAACAGCAGCACATAATGCA